TGATTTTAGCAAATGGCTGCAATATAACAAAGAGTGAAAAATTTAAGGGGGTCTGAATACTTTCCGTACCCACTGTATATATATATATATATATATATTAAACAATTGTTTATATTGTTTTTTGTTTTTAATTTATTTGTTTTTAATTTTATTTTTAATATATATTTTAAATTTATTACTTAATTTTTTTATATAATAAAAACCTAAATTCTTCACACATTTAATGTAGGCCTCTCATAAGACAGCCATAAATATTATTATTGTAATTTTAGCTGTAATTTTTTCTTAAATACCTTTTACAGTGAAATATTACAATAGTAATATTTATTTTTTTTTTATTTAGTAATTTGTATATTTTTATTTAGTTTTATATTAGTCATAATAATCATCATTATTATTTTATAGCCATATAATCACAAACTTTTAGCTCTACAAATAAGCATACCAAGCTGGAATTTTCTTTTAAATGCATTTTAAATTGGAATTTTAGCAGTAAAATCGCAATTAGATTTTTCCCCAAATTGTGCGGCCCTAGATCAATGCAAAAAGACCAGAAATGGACTGTAGTGTTGCATTTAAACACTTTAAAACTGATGTATCCGTGCTCTTTACCTCGTAGGACGAGTAAGTGGCCTGGTTACATATATAGTGCTGCTTTCTAGGGTATTTCTGCAGCACTTCAGCTGGATAATGGAGTTTCAGTGGGCCGCTAAATCCTGTGAGGTGGGACACTTCAAATCTGCAAGTCAAATGAGGCTTTAATCATATTGACTGTTTATTAGTACTTATAAAGCACATATTAATGTATTAACATATTAACAACCTCATACCTAAACTTAACAAAAACCTTACAATGAATTTTATTGAGGGAAAACTCTTAGTCTTAGTTACTTTTAATAGTGAATGTGTTCCCTAATTCTAAAGTGTTACCACACATCCTTTTCAGATGAATGTATTCACCTTTACATAAAGCTGTTTACAGGCTTCTTGGAGAGAGAAAACACACACACACACACACACACACACACACACACACTCTCAGTGAAAACACATGCACGCACAAACCCCAAAAACCTGCTGCACATCAATCATTTCAGTGCATTAGTGCAACCCACTTTTTCAGTGTCGCTGGATCCAGAACTAAAACTAAAATCATTTAAAAAATGAAAATGAAATGAAAAATAAAAAGGAAAATATCCAAATAAAAATCTCAAAATCCTAATAACTATAATTCGATTTAAACAATACTTAAAGGGTTAGTTCATCCAAAAATGAAAATTAGCCCACAAATTAAATTATCACAAATTAATTTGTGGGCTAATTTTCATTTTTGGGTGAACTAACTCTTTAAATAACACTGTTACGGAAGTATTTTTTCCATTCATATTTGTCATAGTGATTTAAAAAAAAGTCTATTACAAACTTTTATTTAAGCATTACAAGATGCATGACATATGTAAAATAAAATTAAGATTAATATATTACTTATATTATTTTCTCTTAAATACTTGTTTTTATTTTACATTGAATATTTCAATAGTAATTTTACTTTGTTTTAATTTACGTTTAAAAAAATTAGTTTTATTAAATAATAATAATAATAATAATATACAACATTACAAACTTCGATTTGAAGCAGACAAGCATTTGAAAATCAGACCAAAAGACAAAGATTCAAGACTGTGAACTGTGAACTACAATCCCATGAAGCATTGCAAACTATATAATTTAATTAAAAACAAAAAAAAATGTTCATTTAAAGTTGTTGATTATATATCTGTAGAAACAATATATTTTGTTACAAAATATGCATCTAATAATACAAATATCACTCGCGGTCCTTCATGGGAGTGGGCGGAGCTTTTTGGCTTACTGGTGGAACTTTCTGTACAGCATTATGGGTAATGTAGTTTTTCACCACAAATTCAAATTTTAAAGACAATTATTGTAAAAATAAGTTGAAATAATGCAGTCTGACAACAGCATACCATTGTTTAACAAGCTCGGAGCTCAGTAATTCTGTCTTTAACAGTTTATAAGCTAAATCTCACTTCCCCTATGGAGAAAATGAATAGAGTTTATACTTCTGTAACCCAACCGCTGCTCTCTATTGAACCCGTAACTGATGTTCTCGTACCGTTCCCTCGGTTTGAGCAGCTCTTGCTGTGTTCGACAGGTTGGTTCTCGTCCGGTTCTGCCGATATACGAACATCTCCGGCTTTGGGATGCGACGCTTCGCCGGCTTCAGTTGCACTTCCTTCAGTGAGCGGATTCAGTTTCTCCACGGGGTTTTCCCGCTCCGGAGAGGCCGGTTTTGTCTCCTCCGGGATACATTCGCTGTCGTCTCGCTCCAGTGTTCGGCTGTCTTCTTCTACAGGGCCGTTCTTGACCTGTGAAGTTTTTTCTGTGCCATTCCTGTCGTGGTTTTCAGAAAACCGGACCTTTTTCTCGGTGGCCTTGAGAGCGGATTCTGTAGCAACACGTCCATTCTGCTCTGCCGTCCCGTCGGGGGTCTTGACTCCGGTCGTTTTGAATGAGTCTTCAGATGCACGTGGCTTTGTGTTTTCAATGTCAGTCTCTGGATTGACGTTCTCCACCTCAGGAGCACAAAGACAGTCGAGTTCCTCTAAAAACTCCTGCAAACTGCTCTCTGGATACACCTAGCAGAAATCAACCATCGGGTGTATAGAATATTAGAAAGGGCTACACTTTAACCTCAGACTTCAACGGTTTTGAGTGAATTTCATGAAAACATCAAGAAGTTACCCCAAAAATCTAAATATATATATAAAAAAAAATAGTTAAGACATATTTTAAAGCCTATCTGTAAGACTATTAATATATTATATTGTGCAAATATATTCATAGAAATTAAGCAAATTTTCATCTCAAACATTACAAAACTTCATGAAAACATATCCAGAAGTTACCCTAAAAATCTGGAAAAAAAAAAAAAAAAAAAAAAAAAAATCATAAATAGAATTTGAAGCCTTTATTTAGGATTATTCATTTATTTTGTTACATTCTTTTTATAAAAATTAGGAACATTTTCATTCCAAACTTGATCAGTTTTGAGTGAATTTCACGAAAACGTATCTAGACTTTACCCCAAAAATCAAAATAAAAAATTATAATTAAGACAGAATTTAAAGCCTGTTTAGAAATAAAATTATTTTCATCAAAATTAAGCACATTTCATTCCAACTTGATCATTTTTAGTGAATTTCATGAAAACATGTCCAGAAGTTACCCTATATTTAGGACTATTAATGCATATTATTGTGAAAATTATATTCATAACATTTTTCCCATTTTCATCCCAAATTCAATACTGCAGTAGTAGTACTAATAATAATAAAAATCACCTGCAAATGCTCCTCCTGCTCTTTAGCATCCCACCTATGAGGGCAAAACCAAGAAATGATTTGCAATCTAAAGTTCAAAACAGTTCCTTGTTATCATACAGTAAATGGATATTAATTTACTATTAGAAATTTTAATTGTTATAAAGAAATGTTTTAGTATCAAAGATATTGTGATATTACAATTGAAGATATATGTTGTTTCTTAATGTATTTTTATTAGTAATTATTAAAATAAAATGATTAAATGTAATATTTAACATGATAAAATTGAATATTAATATTATATTTAATATAATATAATATAATTTTATTTTATTTTTCATTTTATTTTAATAAATAAATGTATATATATATATATATATATATATATATATATATATATGTATAACTGTATTTTTAGTTAGTGATTTAAGATGACATTATTTATAACATCTTTAATAAAAATACATCAATGTATAAGAATTTAATAATATCTTTATCTTCTATAATAGTATTTACAATATCTTTGATTAGAAAAAAAAGTCTGGGCTTTTTGTTCAGTTACTGTGTGTAAAGAGTAAATGATCGTCCATTTACTGTATAATAAGGAACTGCTGTGAACTCATAATAAGATTTTAAAAGTCAAATTATAAGAGGTCATGCGACCAGATGATTTCGTGGTTGAACGTTAATGGCAGTGGAAATGCACAAAACCATAAATCGCTCTGAAAAGCATTCCCATCATCCTCTGAGGGGGCATAAATGTGTGACATAATGGCTTTGAGGTGAAATGTGGCGGGATGTTACTGTAAACGCTTCAGCACATTAACCATCAGCAGTTTGAGGTGAGTTTACCTCCTCGCTCGACCCGTCAGACGGTCTTTACCCTTCGCTTTACTGCCCTCCACTGGAACACACTTCCTCTTCCTGTCTGACGCCTGCTGTCGAACTAGAAAACCCAAACACATCAACACACACTGTAGAATATGATTGAATTAATTCCTATTAACTCTTACTATGGAAAGAGTCTTGATTATTATAATCACACAGTGCCACTGTGACTGCAGGAGATCATTTCATATTTTTATATAAGCTTCCAATTCTGGATATGTTTTAAATATATTTTTATATTTAATTTAATATTTTTTATATTGTTTAATTTACAATTTTTATATTTAACTAAACTTTATTTTATATAAAATATAAGCTTTTTATATAATTATATATATAAAATAATTATAAAATTTATATAATTAATTATTTTATTATTTATTTATATAATTAATTATTTATATAAGCTTCCAAAGCTCAAATTTGAATTACATTTTTATATTCATTTTGATATACAATGTAACATTTTTATATAAGCTTCCAATGAAAATTGAGCTTGAATTATATATGTACCATTTTATACTTAATCAAATGATTATATATGTATATACATACAATTTAATATTTTATATAGCTTCCAAAATAAATTGAGCTTGAATTTTTACCTAATATTTTTAGATTTAATTTTCTTTATATTTAATGTTTAAATGTAATATTTAAAATATTCTGTTATACATAATTTAATATTTTTATACAAGCTTCCAGTGAAATTTGAGCTTGAATTTTATTGTAGTTGAATAAAATAGCTAAAAGAGTGCTACTAAAAAGACTATTATAAAAAAAAAAAATAAACATAGTATTTTAAACTTGACACATACTTGAAACAGGGTTATTAAGGTTAACAAAAAGTAAAACTAATGTCATAAAACAAATGTTGTTATTTGAAAACTTTTACTTGGCAACATTTTTAATTTTCAAATAGTTTAACTTAATGTACTAAAAAAATGAAACTAAAACTGAAATTAAATTGAATGAAAACTATGTGGACATTTAAAAAATATTGACAAAACACAACAAAATGACAAAAACTTTAACTAAAATTAAAATGAAAACAGAAAATATAAAAACAAAGTGCACATGGAAAGAGAATCATTGTATTTGTCATGTTTTATTTATTCACAACTTCTTTTTCCATGCTTATTTCTAATATCTATTCACAATTTTAATGCAGATTTGAACATCTAAGCATTAAATGTTCTGCTGATTAAGATTTGAATGGTCTATTTTGATCAAATGAGCTCAAATCCATCAAAGTACTTGAAAGTTTTGAGATCAACTCATATCTATATGAAACATTAATTTTTTAGGCCAAATGATCAAGAGTTTTAGGTTTTACGCACCTCTGGATTCTTCCGCTCTCATATTTCCTCTTCTGGTGTTTCGACCTCCTATAATCAAATATAATTAACACGTAAGATAAACTATTATACACAAAATACAATCCACACACAAAGCACAACCAGACTTTATCAAGAAAATTATAAATATAACATCTCAGCTGTAAATGAGTTTGATCAGAAAATTAAAACTGCACTTCCGCTTTAATTTGCTCACCTCTGTTTGATGTTGCTCCATGTTCCTTTTCAGAGAACCTACAAATAAAACACATTGGAAAAAACACGCAGACGCAACTAAACATCATCGCAGAATAATCACTGATGATACCAACAATATACGAGCAGGTGAGCGAGAGGAGAAGCCATGCAAATCCAGCTCAATCTGTCACAGGTCCATGGGTTAGTTAGCTTACACACGCATAACTATTAGTGCCGACAGACCAGTTTGTGCTGGTTACTGGTGCAGATTTCCCAGCTGCCAGCTTCATCTTCATGAGCAAGAAAGTACTGCTGGTTAAACTGGTAAACATTCAAAACAACACATGCAAAATGTTTATTTCCAGATGCATCACTAAATATTTAATTCAGTGAAATCCTTAAAGACTAAACTGATTTGAAAACTCAAGATTTCACTGTGACACAGAATGTGCAAAACGTTTATTATAAACTTTTAAAACGTTTTATTATTATTACATTTTATCGATCTGTATCTGTAGCATAGAAAATCTAAATAGAAAAGCTACTAGAAAAGCGAAATTGTTAGAAAAAAAAAATGTCTGTGACACAGTTTATCCCAAAATTAAAAGAGAGAAGAAATAAATAAATTATAATCTGCATACAGAAAATTAAGCTTATTTTGGGACCACTAAGATTTCTTTGCAATGCAACTTTCTAATATTTCTAATATTGAATAAATAAATAATAAATAAATATATATATAATAAAATCATATATATTTATTATTCAATAACAATAATAGTGATCAGGCAGAATGGTTTTCATCAGTCTGTGAGATTTTAGAGGCCTAATTTTCTTTATGTAAAATATAATTTTTTACATTTTTTAAAATTCTAATCTTTTCTTTCTTCATTTTGGAGTAAAATATGAGCTGTCTTTGTCTTTGTGAGCTTTACCCAAACGTCACTTGAATACAGGGATGATATTTGGCTGGGAAAAGTAATCATCGTGACGTGATTGTTCTGCTCTCTTGTACAGGACGTTCACTGATCGAGTGTTTTTCTATCTTCTACCTCCCACAAAACCATCGGCCCTGAAGCGTCTCGCGGCCCTGAACGATCTCTAGTGCTCGTAAACCGTCCCAAATAAGGCAAGGCATTCAAAGCACCCTAAAAATAACCCCCTTTCCCGTCCACTCAATAGTGCTCACGGGGGGGAGATTACTTCTTCCAGAGGAACCATCTGAAACGCTGAAGACTTCCAGACACTTGTTAACATTTGGCCTGAAGTTTGTTTGTGGTACTGCATGCTCAAGTTTGATGATGATGACATTACTGACAGCGTCTCTGCATCACTATACACAGAAAACACAGATGATGCGCTTTCAATGGTGCCCAGAGATCCAGAGCCCGGATGCACAAAAAAGCCTTACGCTAACAAAACCCTTAGATATGATTATAAACTAGGGGTGGGCGATATGGCAAAAATATCATATCACGATTCACGATTTTATCGTCATGTTGGTTTTACTATTTTGTGAGTTGTCTGAGCATTACAGCCAAACTAATTTCCCTATTATAAAGACAATACCTTTCAAGGTAACCAAATATAAAAAAGAATGGCGGATATTTAGGCAAAAGTGGGCGAAGATAAAAATCTTTGTCATTACTTTATCTTTGTTATTAAAAATGAACAAAGATACACATAATATCCAAATAAAACAAACATTGTTTTATTTTCAGGTACAATAGGTGTATTTAGCAGAAGCATTCAAGAAATTGAATGAACAAATAGGCCTGGGCGATAAAACTGTATTGATATTTATCGACGGTACACCTTCTTCGATAACGATATAAAAAATGTTCGATATAGTGCACGATATAGGCACGTGCTATGAGTGACGCAGACAGCTCACACAAACATGAACATGAGTGCTGTGCCTGCCTGTGATGAGGAGCTGGTGAATAAAAAAATGAATATTTGCATTTGAATGTTAGGAGTGCGTCAGGGAGCGTCATCAGTGGAGCACGAGATGCGGTGATAATGATGCAAGTGACGTTGTTGCATTTTAATGTTTTGTTAGTCTTGCCCACGAGATGCGTCGGCCGCTGCTGTGTTATGCATTCAAAATATTAGAGAAATATAGTAGCTCAATGCGGAGAAGATCTTGATTAGGTTAAAACCGAAAAAGAGCCATTCACACACAACGCATATTCAGCGCATTTTTTTAGACGGACAAATATGACTGCTGCACTCGCGTCTCACAAAAGAGATGTAGCCATGCAAAGTTAAAACAGTTTCAACTTTTAGAAACACATCGCGAATTTGTGGAGGTTTATTCCTTTTCACTGCGTCTCTTATGTTTTTAAATGCAATCTGCGTGATGGGCGATTCGGCTCTTTGTATTAAGCAATGCATAAATACATGATGCTGTTTTGTTCATAATTGTTTATGCAATTTACGAAATTATATTTGATTTATATGAGTTAATTTAGACGTAATGCACGTTTTTATAGACAGCTATTTCCATGCGTTGACATTATGCGCTGCATTATTTTGCTCGTTGCGTCCTCCTGTGGCCTCGGGAGACAAGACAAAAGTTTCCTTAAAACCTATTTAATCTGCATATAAAACATTAGAAATTAGATATTTGTTTAATTTTTATTGTGTGTTTGACTGTTAAAACAAAAAAATATTTGTTGTTTGTCTCAATAAATTGGGTTAATTTAAAAATACAGTGGTTAAATAAAAAAAATTAATAAATTATATTGCTCTTTGTTTTAAAAAAAGTTTATAAAAAATGTCAATAATTATCGATACCGAACAATATGGAACATTATATCGTTGATAATTTTTTTAGCTATATCGCCCAGCCCTATGAACAAATATAAAAATAAAACACTATAGAGATTGATTCCTATTAAAGCAACTGCATTAAAGTTTTTCAAGAGTAGTGAGTGATTTTTCTCTTTGCTTTGTTGTTTTATTAACATTAAAGGAATAGTTCACCCAAAAATAAAAATGGTCATCTATACCATCATTTACTCCCTCAAAAGTTTGAAAAAAGGAGTTTCTTTCTTCTGCTCAACATAAGAACGTGGAAAACCAAACAGCTGCTGGTCCCCAGTGACTTCCATAGTATTTTTTCCTACTATCAAATTCAATGTGGACCAGCAACGGTTTGATTACCCACATTCTTCAAAATATCTTCTTATAAATAACATGTGAGTGAGTAAATAATGACACAAATTAAATTTCAGGGTGAACTATCCCTTTAATGACAGTCGGCTGCATGTTTAGCTCTGTCCCTGTACAACAGTAATATATTTCTGTCATAATTTCTTCAAGTTAAACCACTATAACCGTTTAAGAGCGGAAACATGAATTAAAGCAATATAAGTCCATTTTAATTTCATGCTGACTTTAACAAATTAATAATAATGGAATTAATAATGACGGCCATCATTAGTAATAGCACTGATTAAATGCTTTTTTACTTATCAGAAAGTACAGACTCTGTCCATTCATGAATGCATATTTGCTTTAAAAATATTTACAGAATGTATATCCCCATTTTTTCCCGTTTTTCTTTAATACTGTATAAAACATTTTCTTTAAAAATCAATAAAAATAACATCAAAATATCTAAAAACTCTCAATTATAATCTCAATTGTAAATGTACTGAATTTATGCCACAAATACAGGACAAACCCTATGTTTCGTTTCTAGAATGACCTTTAATTCTAATAAAGTTTGATTCAGTTACTCAAATTAAAGTCATCCATGTCTCACGAGCTCAATGAACGGAGACATTTGACCCGAAATGCCATACAAGACACGTGATTGATAAACATTCCCAGAAGCACCAAATCCAAAACAGCTTCAACAGATGAATATACAGTATATATATGAAGTCCATGTTATTTCTATTCTCTTTCCCACTCAAGCTCTAGTTCTTCTGGATCAGCTCGTGTTTAATTGAACAGCAGCACTAGCTGAACTCTGATACGAGATTTGGCAAGACGTCTTGAGCAGTTTGACATCTACAGAGCTTTTACAGTCATCAGAGCGTAAACACGGACCTTTTATAACTTCTTTGACATTAAACGGGAGTTCAGCTCACTGATGTGTGCAGCTAAAATGTCAAAGATCATTTATGAATCCTACTGCAAAACATTTGTCAGAGTGAGATATTTAAGTCAGATCTGAATGCGAGTTTGAAGTGAATTATGCATCGTCACGTTTCCCAATGGCGATGCTTCTTTGTCACAATTATCATTAGCTGCGTGTCCACTGTCGGGCCAAAAGCGGGCGTGCTAGTGCGTTAACATATTTTATCTGTCATAAGTCTCGTCTCGAGAGTTTAGCTCCGCGTATGTCATAAAAATATAATATGGTTTTTGTTCGGGAGCTTTTATAAAAATATAGAAATGATCATACTTTCTAAATGTGATGTAGGCCTATATACTGTGACTACAAATAAACAGAAACAGACTCGACTGAGTAGGTAGGCTATGTTCATACCGCTTTATTTCTGTGCGACTAATTTTCAATCCTGATAAATTCATTCATTATGATCAATGTATCACTTATTATTGTAAAACATCAATGCTTTTGGATTTAAATCTTTAACAAAGCATGCAAACAAACGGCCGCTTTTATCATGTTCGTTTTGTGATCGCGCTAGTTCCAGTGACTTATTTCTTATTAGTTTTCTGATAACTTCTCTTTGTTGGTGAAATGATGGGGTTGCGTGACGTTGTTCCTGAGAGGCGTGTAAAGAGTGGGTTTTAGTAAAGCGCAGCGGAGCTTCTGGCCCGACGGTGGAAACGCAGCATGATTTTTGCCTCGGTGCTACAGGTTCGAGGCTATTAGCCCCGCCCGGCCCGTTTAAAGCACTGGCCCGACAGTGGAAAAGCGGCTATTGTGATATTACTGCTGCAAATTTAGACAATAACAAGAGAAATTTCTCTATTAACTATAGGCAAGATTTTAGAACAGCTGCAATATCTATTTTGACATTGTTTTAGGCTACTTGTGTTAGGTAGAAAGATTTACCTAACTTATTAGAGTAAGAACATTTGCAGAAAATTGGAATATTGCATAAAACATTTGCGAATAAAGCACCGCTTCCATCACAAGACAACAAAATCGTCACTTCCTGGGAAACTGCCGCAAATGATCAATAATAAAAATGGAAGTTGCAGTTAAAGACACTCAAAAAAATATTTAGGCCTGATTTTACGATTTCTGTATTTGGATTGCATATACAATTCTCATGCATTACAGTTTTAACTAATACACTTAATGTGATGCAGATTTGTCAGTCAAACATAAATGAAACAGGACAGATTTCTGTAACAGTACTAATAAAATGAATGTGTTTTAAATACACAATAACCATGTTTATGCATTTATCATCAATACTATTTCAATGTCTTTCAACTAATTGAATACTGCTTGCTCCACAGCTACCATTTTCATACTTTTTAACTGAATCAATTTCATTATCACAATGAACAGACTTATGCTGATTCTGAGCAATTTGAATAAATGCATTACGAAAATATGATTATTTAAACAAAATCAAATAAATTAACTATTTGCATCTATTTGATTTCATTTAAATAATTAAACATTTTAAATGGTTTAAACTATAGCATGATTTTTGAGTGTAGAAATCTGACCCGTTTCATTTATGCCTGACTGACAAATATGCATCACATTAAGTTTATTAGTTTATGTTAATACTGTTTAATCCAAATAGATGGACATTTTAGATGGAATTAAAATACATAAATCTTAATTTTAAGCCTGTGACTCTTTTTCCTACATAATAAATGACTTCCACTTCAATTGAGCAAATAATTTTTTAATGTGCATTTTAAGATTTGATGCACATTTGGTGTTCCCATCCAACTTTAAAAAAAAAATGCAATGTCCCAAAATGTATATAAAAATGCATGGATGGAAACACAGATAATGACTAAATAGATACCTGACTATTGGTTCATTTTAACCAGCATTAACAGCTAAATATTACTGTTATAACACAATCTTCTGTTTGAAAACAGATTTCAGAAATGTAATCGAATGATTTATTAAAGATAAAATAATCTTAACAGATAATTTGGATCATTTCAAGCATAAAGAAAAAAAAAAAAGACCAAAAACATCAAAAAGTTTTCTGAATTTATGAATCATTTAGTTCAGGACCAATAAACAAAACAAAGATATCTGAAGGTGTCAAGACAGACAGAGAAGAACCAGGCCATTATGATTCAAACAGCTGCGATTTATGTATGTATGAGGCAGTTAAACATGCAGAAAACGAACAAACGAAAGAAGAAATCAAACTAAATCAAGGTGCAAACTAAAGCAAAGCAGGTTAGTTGCTCTCACGTCAGAAGAGAAATCAGGCGCAGGTGTCTGGCTTACATCAGATCGGTTTTCTCCATGTCCCAGGCTCTCCTCCACTGGCCTCTGGCGTTCTTGTGTCGGGCCACACGCTCGCGGTCGATCTCCTCACGCTCCTTCTTCCACCGCAGGTACTCCAGCTGCTCTTCTTTGGATGTGACGAGGTTCAGGTCAGCGACGGCCTCTGTGACCTGCCAGATCATTCGAGCGTCAAATACAGAGCAAAATCTGCCATGTGGAAACGGTCTAATTCGATATGCAGTTGCAGTTAAATACTGTTTGGTTGAACACAAAGATATGAGAAGATGCATGGAAAGAGGTTTACGCCCCTCCACTTTAAAAAACAATATGATTAGTGACATCTGAACATCTCTGTGTTTAATTTAATTAGACGTTCAGACAGAGAGTGTGTGGAAACGCTCTCACCGGGACGACATACGAGTCCTCATATTGACTCCATTGATCTGGTTTTTCTGAGTCGTCCTGAACAAACACACAGATGAGAGACAATGGTAACGAGCAAAAGACTGTTACAGATGAAGACTTCAACACCTATGATTTCACAGCTGAAGAGGTTTACTGTTAAAACACAAACACAAATCATTTTAGACATCTAATTGAACATCTCATTAATATATATTATTATATATTATATATACATATACACACACAGTAAATTAGCTGTTTACTATAATGTATATTTAGTAAAAAGCAATATATACCCATATACATGTAATATATGTGAGCCTGGAGCACAAAAGCAGTCTTAAGTCGCTGGGGTATATTTGTAGCAATAGCCAAAAATACATTGTATGGGTCA